GAGCTGTTTCAGTGCTATGATGAGCTCTAAAGCCAGACTAAATCTCTTCAAAGAGTTCACTGTGGTGTAAGTGATCACACACTTGTTTGGCAACTACTTTCTCAAGAATTATAGTTAAGAAGGAATGAGTCAGTATAGGTCGATAATTGACCAAATCATTTGGGTCAAGAGACTGTTTCTTAAGGAAAGGTTCAACCTGCCTGAAAAGCCCGAGGTACATATCCCTTTAACAGGGAAAAGTTAATCATATCTTAAATGGAGAAGGAAATAGAGCAAATACTTCCTTAAATAATCTGGTTGGAACTGGATCTAACTATTCAAATTGAAGGCTTAAGCCGGGCATACACTGTGCGATTCTTTCAGTCGTTGCATGCAGCTGCAGCTCACACTGTGCAACGAAAACCTGTTGTTTCTTCGTACAGTGTGAGTTCACAGCTCACGATGCATGTTCAGACTGATGCTCTGATGTGATCGACCTAATCTACCTACCGGACTCAGCTCTGCAGTGAGATGGAGGTACATGGACTCGTCTTTCAGGAAGCCATACAAATAGAAGGGGAATATGAAGAGTGAACCGTGCTGCCTAGGCAATTTGTGTAATTTTGTACTGAATGCCCTAAAAAGAAAAGGCAACCAAGTATTTGGACAAAGACATGGCTGAGCAAACGTGGCTACTACGGTCTGTCATTTTTACAGAAAAAACTCCATTTCACTCACACCCCTGACATGCGTCTATGTTTACATGTGAAAGGAAGAAAAAGAAGAATCATTGTTTCCGCATACCCACTGAGCAAAGTTAGATTTTTTCCTGACCTCACTATTCCTGATAGGTAGGTGGTCGTGAGAGGCTGATCGCCCCTCGTTACCCCATGTACACTACACAACGCATGATGCATGATCAGGCTGAAGGTCGGCTCGATAGGAAAATTCTCGCACAACTGAAAAATCGCCCCGAAAAGGGCAAAAACTCATAAAGTGTACGCCCGGCTTTAGATGAAGACAATAGTTTTGATAACTCTGAAAGTTCAAGTGGATCAAAGCAGTCTCAGCCATGTCAAATCTTATGGCTACCTCAGGTGCTGCCTCACCTTTCAGAGGTAAACCAGTCATAGTTATAAGAGTCCTAATAATCTTACTTTTAATAGAATCAATCTTATTTATAAAGAATGTCTTAAAATCAATAATGCCAAGAGATGGGGGAGGGACGATTCAACAGAGCTATGGCTCTAGGTCAGTTTGATAACTGTATTAAAATATATCTAGGATTATTCTTATTATCCTCTATTAATGTGGTGAAATTTGCTGCTCTTGCTTTATGAAGGGTCCTCTTATACAGTAGTAAACAATTTCTCCAGACTAGGTAGGATTCCCATTGGCAAGTACAGTACCATTTTCTCTCCAGTTTCCTAGCTTTTTGCTTCAGAGTGCAGAGCTTTGCATTAACCTGGGGAGCCAGCTTTCTATTTCTAAAATTTTTTTATTTCAAAGGGGCTGCATTATGTAAAGCAGTGCGCAGATAACTAGCAACCCCCTCAACAAAATCATAAACCTGTGAAGGGGAATAAACTAAACGTCTGACCTTGCAGCATTGCTCAATGACACAGAGGAGAGAGAAGGGGAAACAGCATTATATGACATTGATCTGCTAAGGTGAACCTTTCTTTTATGGGGGAGGAGAACTCTTTGAAAGTAATCCTGAAGGTTATTAAAGCGTGATCAGAGAGGAAACGGGTTGTGAGGAAATACTGTTATTTCTTTACATTCAATACCACAAGCTCAAGGTCCAAAGAATTAAGAAGAGTATGTGTGGGTCTATTCACATTTTGAACAAAGTCAGTTGCACTAAAGGCCGCACTAAGCTACCACCTTCAATGTCAGCATGGATGTTGGAGGTAAGCATAGTGGTTCATTCCACACTATGATAACCCTGTCAGTATTCAACACCAAATTAGATAAGAATTCTGAAAACTCATCTAAAAATGCAGAGTAAGAACCTGGTGGACTAGACAAAGTTACACAAAGAAGAGGTTTTGTGGCTTCATTTGGATGAAGGAAACTGACAGTTAAATGTTCAAAAGAGTTGTAATTATTAACTGCCTTTGGAATAATCCGTAAGTCAGACAGAAATATTGTTTCTACTACTCCTCCTTGTCCAGAATTTCTGGATATGTGAAAAATTAAATAACCAGAGGGAATTGCCTCGTTTATGCTCACCTAATCCTCTTGCTGCAGCCAGGTTTCTGTAAGGCAACATAAATCAATGTGATTATCATAAATCAAGTCATTAACTAACATAATAAAGCATAATAAAGACCTTGTATGTTAAATAAACCACATTTAATTATTTTAACTTTTTCCAGATTTGGAGATACTTTTATTTCAATTTAATTTACAAATTTGAGATTCTTTTCTAATTTATTTGATTTTTGTCATTGGAAAGACTCTGCATGGATGGAGTAATGGGTGGGTAACAGTGGAGAAGCTGCAGAGATGTGTGTTAAACTACAACTCTGCTTCCTGGTCTGCACCCTGGGTTTTCAGGATTTTTGAGCACTAATACATTTGGCCAGATTCCTAGAAAGAAGAGCTGCACCATCCAAAGTGGGATGGATGTTGTCTCTCTGAATCAGACCAGGCTTTCCCCAAAAGGATTGCCAATTATTAATGTAGCTCATGTTGTTTTCAGGACACCACCTAGACAACCAGCGGATTGAATGATGACATGCGGCTAAACATGTCATCACTGGTCAGATCAGGGAGAAAATGATAGAGGCCAACATTGTTTTGGCAAACTTACACATGGAAGCAATACTAATTGGGTGAACTGGGTGTCATTACAAAAGTGTGAATAACAGTCTCACTGTATTTAACCTTATACATAACCTGCATTTTCAGGTAGGATTTTATATCTCCCGGCAAACATTTGACTATGGTCCCTGTTGTATGGTTCCTGATTCGAATGCCAAGTTTCTGACTCTGGAGCTGCAAATGACCAGAGTGGGCTATTCAGTGAGTGCATCACTGAACGGGGAAAATCAGTTAGAAATATTGATGGGTTTGTGGTGATCAGTGTGCAGAAATCCATGACTACACTTTTTGCGTACCGTTACCCAATCACCTGGCTGCTTAGGTAAATTTGGAGGACACTACGTGGGGGTTTCCATGGTCTTGTTGGCTCTGGGCACAACAAGACTATACTCCTGAATGTTCAATAGCCCGAATCTGGGATTCTTACTCTGACACCCTTGCCTCCGAAGCTGCAAAAATACTACACTTATTGCACATAACAATTGGAATGACTATGACCTGGATGACTGAGAACCTTCACCAGCTTATTACACATACCATTATCTCTAAAGGAGGCATAGGAATAACTAAATATCTGACATAGAGAGCAGGAGAGAGGAGAGGAAGAAGTAAGAACTGGAAAAAGAGTCAAGGGAGGGAGGGAGAGAACCATAGCGAGGCTAAGCTACTGCTAGCCTAGGCTAGCTACTCCTTAGTACCAGAAATAAAACCGTGTAAAACAACAAGTGCTCAGTAGAAAAGTGCAGCAGAAGGCGCTATGTCTTAAAGTGCTTCTTTGCAGTTAGAGTTACTTAGATACAGAGATATCTCTGAAAAAAAGAAGTTATTTCAGACGGAGATAGCCTGCACACCACAGCTCAATGTCAAAACAGGAAGTGAACACATACGTCTCACCAACCGCAGCAGTAGCTCTGTCTAGCATAACTGAACTGGCCATAGGGTGGTTCCCCTTCATGGCAGGATTCCCAAAGTGCTGACCTGGGACTGGCCTCCTGGCCTGTGTCTATTTCTGTTTTTTTTTTGTCTGCAAAAAAAGTCTGCAGGTAAAGCGGTGGTGCGCCTGTCAGAGAGATAGAGAGACAGGCCAGGCCACTTAAGACATTAACATGTGAGGAGGGAAAGACAATTAGTATATTTTAATTTAAACCCACCCCAACAGTTGGTATTAACCACACAGACAGCAGCGTGTGGAGGAAGGGGTGTGTGACGTCTGTCGGGTTCCAACTTGTGCTTTGGTGTGTAGCTAGAAAGCAGTGCGAGTAAGGATAAGAAGCAATGGTCAGCTAGAAAGCAGTGCGAGTAAGGATAAGAAGCAATGGTCAGCTAGAAAGCAGTGTGAGTAAGGATAAGAAGCAATGGTCAGCTAGAAAGCAGTGCGAGTAAGGATATGAAGCAATGGTCAGCTAGAAAGCAGTGCGAGTAAGAATAAGAAGCTATGGTCTTGCTCCTTGAACAAGTTAAAAGGAAGAGACGTGGCCAATTTCAGAAAAGTTACAGATTTATTCTGTCTGATGCTGACTTGCAGTTACGTATCCCAGTTTAAACATGAATGTTTCTGTATCAAACCTTGGATTTAATGTAGGTTGGGGTTCATTACTATTTCTCAGTATTTTGATTAGCCATTTAGGCATGATATGACTTGATATGACTATGTATAGCTCTAACATTGGCACTACTCATTATGTAAAATCTTTATTATCTCAGTACTATCACGATTACAGCAATAAAATTACTGTATATTCCAACCCTAGAAATTAGAGTAGGTCCTATAGATCAATGTTTCCCAAACTTTTTTGATTTCTGTTCCCCTTTGGGCAGTTTATCGTCCCATAAGTCACCCTGTCAGTCAAAAGTATTGATGACTGTCCAAAAGTGGAACTTACAAGAAATTAAATAAAGACTGCTTTACTTAATATTTTAATTTGAGCATTTAATTTTTATGAATTTATGCTTTTCATCTTAAATAAAAAACATACAACTAAATACATACAAAATAAAATAAAAATATTTACAGCTCAGTCTGAGCAGATTAAAACATATATTCAGAGTTTAACCACATTACAGACACACAGAATACAGAACATACAGAAATATATGTTAAAGCCATGTACTTATTTGGGGCTTTGGCATGTATGGCATTGGTTTGACTTTTAAGGGCTGCTGAAAAATATTTTTTCGTCATGTCTCCTCAGACTGAGTGACTGTAACCTCTCAGAGAGAAGCTGTGAAGCTCTGGCCTCAGTTCTCAGCTCCCAGTCCTCCAATCTTAGAGAAAAGGATCTGAGTAAAAACAAGCTGCAGGATTCTGGAGTGGAGCTGCTGTCTTCTGGACTGAAGAGTCCAAACTGCAAACTGGAAACTCTCAGGTCTGATATCATTCTTTTTTTTAATGCATTTATGTTGAATTTTTATTTGATAAATTAAGTGAGCACCGGAACATTTTTATTTTAAAAAGTTACACCAAATACAACACTCCTATCCATCAGTAAACCCTGCTAATGCAGCTTCAGATGAAGGGAAAGGTGAACTGATCCACAGCCTAGTCTTACTTCCTGATTTTTTAAAGAGAAATACGTTACATAGCTGTGCGTTTCACTCAAATATTCATCCAAAACAATGCCAGGCTAAATGAAAACATTTCCCATACTGAAGAAAATCTGCTGAGATCTAAATACTACCTGTAGGATCCAATCAGTTTAAATTAAATTAACAGGGTATCTCAGAGCATAGACTCTGTCCTCATTCTTCCATTAGTGATGTTCTCCAGCAGAGCCAAGGCTGCTATCCTTCCACTGATTATGCAGCCTTAACACATTAGTAACTTTTATGATTTTCTATAGTTTGTCAACATTATGAATCTTCACACCTGGCTTGTTAAGAATCACTCTACTGATCCACCACCATTTCTTTTTTTAGGAGAAAAATTAAAATGACCATTCAAGAAAATACTTTGCTTCTCAGCAAAAGACAAACAGCTTTTCAAAGCAGATTTTAAATGGCTGCTGCAGAGGCCTTGCACCAGTAAAGCATTCCATATTGCAGTTCCGTCTATATAGATTGAAGGAAAATTTCAAGTTTAAAACAGTCACACAACATAGACATTTCTGTTTCATCTGTACTGTTTAATATGCAGCTTTTTATTTTATTTTATTCGATCACAGTTCTTCATTGCTCTCTCTGTCTCTTCAGACTGAATGACTGTGACCTCTCAGAGAGAAGCTGTGAAGTTCTGGCCTCAGTTCTCAGCTCCCAGTCCTCTAATCTTAGAGAGATGGATGTGAGTAACAACAAGCTGCAGGATTCTGGAGTGGAGCTGCTGTCTTCTGGACTGAAGAGTCCAAACTGCAAACTGGAATCTCTCAGGTCTGATATCATTCTTTTTTTAAATACATTTATGTTGAATTTTTATGTGATAAATTTAGTGAGCACCGGAAGATTTTTACTTTAAAAAGTTACACCAAACACAACCCTCCCATCCATCAGTAAACTCTGCTAATGCAGCTTCAGATGAAGGAAACGTGAACTGAACCACAGCTTAGTCTTACTTCCTGATTTTTTAAAGAGAAATACGTTACATAGCTGTGCGTTTCACTCAAATATTCATCCAAAACAATGCCAGTTCTTCATTTCTCTCTCTTTGTCTCCTCAGACTGAGTGACTGTAACCTCTCAGAGAGAAGCTGTGAAGCTCTGGCCTCAGTTCTCAGCTCCCAGTCTTCTAATCTGAGAGAGATGGATCTAAGTAACAACAAGCTGCAGGATTCTGGAGTGGAGAAGCTGTCTTCTGGACTGAAGAGTCCAAACTGCAAACTGGAAACTCTCAGGTCTGAACATGAATCCAGAACACATTTGAAGCCTTGTTTTATAACAAAATTTATGCTGAATGCTTATTTTATTAACTTAGTGAGCCTTGGAGCAATAATTACTGAGACTTTTAAAGGTTAAACCAAAACATATTGGACTCCCAGCCATCACTAAACTCTGCTAGTTCACTTTTAGATGAAGGGAAAGGTGGACTGAAGCTGAACTTGATGTTTATATTTAGATCTTATAATAGAAATGAGTAATTTAGCTCTGCATTTGACTGAATTCCTCTCCTAAAACAATGTCAAGTCAAAAACATTGTTGGTCCTGGTTAAAGACCTGCTGGGATCCAAATGGCTACTTGTAAGATCCAGTTAATCTAAACACCTTCAATTCAATTAAGTTTATTTGTATAGCGCCAATTCACAACACATATTATCTCAAGGCCCTTTAAAGTTCACCAGATCATACAATCAAATTAATTCAAAGTATTTTATCTAAGGTAAACCAGTTGATTGCATCAACTAATTGATTAAGCATGCTTGTAGCGACATTGGAGAGGAAAAACTCCCTTTTAACAGGAAGAAACCTCAAGCAGAACCAGGGTCAGTGTGAGCGGCCCTCTGCCGAGGCCTACTTGGGTTCCAAGACAAAAGCAACTGTAAAAGGCGGCCCCGTCCAGGAAACACACAGCCAGGCAGACGGGCTCCAGGCCAACTCCCATGTCAGAGGATGAAGAGAGCACATCCAGCTAGCCACAGTCAGAGAAACAGGACTACACTGGAAAAGAGGCCCATCTTTAACATCTATAAACAAGGTTGTTGATGGCAGCAGCACAGCTGATATTTCTCTCCAGGATGTTGTCAAAGCTAAACAGGAACAGACGAGGCAAAGCTATTATGAGAAAAAGCAGAGAGAGCAGAACGTTAGAGATTGAACTAACATATTCTGCAGAGTGGGAGAATAGAGAGAGAATGAAGCAGAATGATGAAATGGGGGTCCCTATGTCCTAGAGAAGTCTAAGCCTATAGCAGCATAACTATAGAGATAGCTCAGGTTAACCTGAGCCACTCTAACTATAAGCTTTATCAAAAAGGAAAGTTTTAAGCCTAGCCTTAAAAGTAGACAGGGTGTCTGCTTCACAGTCTCACCCCCACTCTACAGAATT